AGGCAGCTAGCTCAGTGCATGGCGGGGCTTAGGTTCTCAAGGTGTTTGCTTTCTCGCTCCTCGATCATCTGCACGTTTCTCCATCCCTACTCCCCTTAACTTTGTCATTTCAGCCCCGCCAACCACTGTTTAAGTTTCCCTACCTGCTCTGGGGTACTTACATGGCAGTGGGGCCCCGGCTGACATTTTCAGACAACTTCTGGCCAGGGGCGGCTAAAGGAGAGAGCAGGCATGTTGAGTTCCTCCTCTGACATTCTTACCTTATACCCTCTCTGAGGTTCCAGTCCCCTTGGGCCAGTCCCCTCCCCACTGTCCCGGGTACCTGTGCACTGGCCACTGGACCGGTTCATGAGGGCAAGTGCAGAGGTCACAGCAGGCTCCTTCCGCAGCACTCTCTGGGGCAGGGTGTTCAGGCCTGAATGAGACTGAGGAGGAAAGGGTGGCTCTGAGGGTGTCCTTGTCCCTGAGGCCTAGCTGGAAGCAGCATTTCAGCTACTTGTTAAAGAACCCATCATTCACTCACAGTTCAAAGAACAATAGTGATACACTGTCATTTGGCTGGCTGCCTAGCCCCAAAGTTCTGCCATTGCTCCATAAGAAATGGGTAATTAAGAAACAGCTTGAGAGTCCTGTGTACTGGCACACATCTGTAACCCCAGCACCTAGGAGGTGGAGTTCACTTAAGAGTTCAAGACAAGTCGGGCAGTGGTAGCACACGTCTTTAATCCTAGCACTCAGGAGGCAGAGGCAGGTGGATCTCTGTGAGTTCGAGGCCAGTCTAATCTACAAGAGCTAGTTCCAGGACAGGCACCAAAGCTACAGAGAAACCCTGTCTCAAAATACAAAAAAAAAAAAAAAAAAATCAAGACAATCCTCAACAGTCAGTTCAAGGTCAGTGTGAGCTAAATAAGACCTTGTTTTAACATCACCCCCCAACACACACAAACAAAACAAAACAAAGCAAAAAAAGAGCAAAGTAATTGAACGAATGAAAAAAAAAAAACAATCCAAGGCAAGGGGAAAAAAGATGGACTCTGACATCTAACAATTCCCCTGGCCCATCTTCTCAAGCACGGTGCTGTCCCGAGAGTTCTACACACAACCCATTCATCCAGACTCAAAAAGTTGCAACCTCAGTATTTAATCCTTTACAATAACAGACCAGCGGTACACTGAGGGACACAGACGGCCTTGGCCACCTCTCCACTTTCCGACTTCTCTGAGTAATAGAGGATTTCTTCTGGTAGTGACCAGGGTAAATGTAACAGTGTGTCTCATTCAGACTCGCCAGTGCTCCCAGCGAGAGGAAGCTGGGACAAGGAAACAGATGGGGACTGTCCAGGATGCCCAGGTACCACCAACAGGGAACAGCCTGTGAAGGGTTCTTCATTTTGGTGGCGGGCACAGGGTCCCATTATTTTGCCAAGCTCATTACAGGTGTGCTGTATTACAGGTGTGAACCATTGTGCTTACTAGCCCATTTCCTCAGTCAAGAGAAGGCGCCAGTGTGCCTACAAACCTCCTCCAGCGATCAGTGTAGACTGGTTTGTGTATTCAAACACACATACCATTTCAAATCTATTTGGATCCTTAGTCCCAACCACTCGTTAAGATCAATTCCAGGGCTGGAGTGTAGCTCAATGGTACATCAAAACTCAAGGCTCTGAGTTTGATATCCAGCTTCACAGAGGGGGTGGGACCCATGGCCCGAAAGCACAGTCCCAGTTATTATTTGTAGGCGACAAGCATCTCGGCTCTACAGAAGCCCTCAGCAACTGACACTATAAGGCTGCAAGTGATCAGACTGGGTTCTGCACGCAATCATTCAGGGAAGGCGTCGGAAGCGCACAGCGGACCACCAGCAGCAGGGCCCTCCACCTATCTCCAAGGACTCGCCTTCCCGGGGAGGTGGGGCGAGGAAGGTGGCCAGGACCTTACCTTCAGCGAGCCGTAGGGCCAGGGGTAGGCGTTCTCCTTCTGAGCCATTGTCCAGGAAAAGCCGGAGGAGAGCTGGGCAGAGAGGGAAACAGCGGTGAGAGACGGAAGGTGCGGAGGCGGATCTGCGGGGAGCGAGCCTGGGCGGGCGGAAGGAAGTGCCCAGTAAATCGCAGGCCGAGGTAGGGGCGCACCCCCTCGCCCCCTCTGCACCCCTCTCCGCACCCCATGCGCCCTTCTCTGAGCCACCCGGCTGGCACATGGCCAGTCCCACGGAACCCGACCCCGTGGATCACCTGCGCTCTCCGGAACCCACACTCAGCCGCCTTCTGCTCGGCTGGGAGCCTGCACGTTGGAGAAGCTCTCCCGCAGCTCCGTGACCTCGACACTTTCAAATTTCCCGCTCTGAGCCCATTGGCTGAGCCGCCACACAAACTCACTCTCATTGGCTAAGCCTCTGGTGACGTAACCTCGTTGAGCTGCAAAAAAGTGAGGGTTAAGAGGCTTGTTTCTCTACCCAAGGTCCACACACTTTTTTTTTTCTCTTTCATAAAATATTAAATATTTAAAGTGGACGGTGGTGGCTCGCTCCTTTCCCAGCACTCGGGAGGCAGAGGCAGGCATATCTCTGTGAGTTCGAAGCCAGCCTGGTCTACAGAGCGAGTTCTTGCAGAACCAGGGCTACACAGACAAAAAACCTGTCGACGGGAGGAGTTGGGAGGATTTAAATTGGGTGTAGACCCCTGTCTCAAAATAATACTATACTAATTCTACTGATAACAACTACAATAATTTTTATTATTACTATTAAATATAACCTAGCCGGGCGATAATGGCGCATGCCTTTAATCCCAGCAGTCGGGAGGTAGAGGCAGATGGATCTCTGTGAGTTCGAGGCCAGCCTGGTCTACAAAACCTAGTTCTAGGACAACCAGGGATAGTACACGAAGAAAACCCTGCTTCAAAAAATTAAAAAAATATATAATACACACACATACACACACACACACATATATATAAACTGAGTTCTCTCTGTCTTTCTCTGTGTGTGTGTGTGCGCGTGTGTGTGTGCGTGCGTGTGTGTGCGTGCGTGTGTGTGCGTGTGTGTGTGTGTGTGTGTGTGTGTAAAACTTTTGTTTTCTGTTAGATGGAGAGACTATTGTGCCAATGCCACTGCTTAAACTGTCTGTTTACCTCGGGAGGCAGAGACAGGTGAATCTCTTTGAGTTCGAGGCCAGCCTGGTTTACAAAGCGAGTTCCAGGACAGCCAAGGCTACACAGAGAAACCCGGTTTGGGGGCAGGGGTGACAACAAAACAAACAAACAAACAAAAATGTCTGGTTCACAGGAGAATTTAAATGCTGCCCTTACTCTTTGTATGTACAATCCTCTTTAAGTATCCTTGGTGTATTGTCTCTAGAACAACCTATGATATCCAAACCCAAACCCGGACTACTCAGGTCCCTTCTAGAAACAGGCATAATATTGTATACAACATAGTTTTTGCATTAAGTTTGTAATTCTTTGGGGCTCATTGGCTAATCTCTAGATCACCTAACTATCTAAAACTACGGCAATACTGTGAAACAGTAGTAAGCTGTCTCCGAGGAAATAAGATGCAGGGAGGAAAAGTCAGTATAGATGCAATCGATTAGATGAGATGCATGGTTAGACAGACAGATAGGCAGACAGACAGTTTGTTGGGTCCATGGTTGTAGAATTCATGACTATGGATCTGTATTTCTGGGTTCCCTATTCTTCTTGTCCGTTTTGTATTTGGGTTTTGTTTGAGACAGGTGGCTCTGTTTAGCTTTCTGCCGTGGATCTGTCTGTGCTGGTTCCCTGATGGTTGTGGTGTTTGAAGACAGTTTCAAAAAGCCAGTGTGTTCTCCATTCCTTGGCTAGGCACACTCAAAATCCACTCTTCTGCAAATGTTTTGTTTGTGTATCCTTACTGTTTCGTTCTTTAAAATCCTTTAACGTTTCTAGTTCTAGCATCAGGCTTGGAATTCCAGCACTCTGGTGCCTGAGGCAGTAGGATTGCCAGGAGTTCCAGGCTACAGTTTGAGCCATTTACTCAAACAAGTAAACAAATTAATTTTCAAATTCTATAAATTAGCAATTCCCACTGAGGTAACTATTGATTTTCATCCCATCTCTTGAGTAATGGTAAATGTAGATTTTCCTGGTCAAGTAACATTGAGGGTGGCCATGAGGGCCTTTACCCAGTTTTCCTGCCAAGGGCTGACACTTCACACACCTGGGAAGGAGCAGAACTATTGTGGGGGCTCCGAAGTTTGGGCATATGCAACTTCCGCAACAAAGACTGTGTGTCCCTGTCTTAGTCCATGTGACAAAGTGACTGATCTGGCACAAGACAGAACAAGGCCCAGGAGGGAGTGCAGTGAATGGGGCAAGACTCTAGTTGGCATGGCATCTGTTGTGTGGGTAGCATTTCCTCACCGGGAAACCCTCCGGCACAGACAAAGTGTAGCTGCCGGAGCAAAGAAGTATCAGGATGTGAGGCTATTTGTCTGTCTGGGAAGACAAGGGTGTGTGTGTGTGTGTGTGTGTGTGTGTGTGTGTATTGTACATGTGCCCACACATGTGTACATGTGTATATGTGTACATATGTGTGCGTATGTATGTGTATGTACATGTGTGTCCATGTATGTGGGTGTGGTACAGGGGAAGGTGGGTTGGACTAGAAGAGTTTGCTAGCTTGGGTTTCTCATTCACTTCCTTCTTTTGTTCTGCCTTTTTTTCCCCCTTTAAAAAACAAACTGAAGGTGGTAAAATGTCCATGGTTCCAGGACCTTAGGGGGAAGTATGGAGGGAAATATCATTTATATGCAACAGTCTGTGTTCTAGACAAAGTTCATCAGAGATGGAAAAAACTACTTTTCAAAATTTGGACTCACCCGTGGTGTCTCATTCACGCCTGTAATCCCAGCACTTTGGAGGCAGAGGCAGGAGAACCACTGTAAGTACGAAGCCAATTTAGTTTGCACAATAAGTTCCAAGATTGGTTATGAAATAATAAAATAAAAATAGAAAAACAAAAATTGGACTTAAATTTTATTTTATTTCTGACTTTTCAAGGTTTTTATAGTCAAATGCTACGTCTGATTCATTTCAACTCCTTCACTGCCAAACCTAGGGGACAGGGTACTGACGGCTTCAACCTCTCTTCCTTCTTGTCTGTGCTGACCAGGGTGTACAGATACCGGCCGCGGCGAACCTTGAGCTTCCCGTTCTCATTACTCTTCTTGATCTTGACTGACTTCGCGTCCCTCCGCAGTGCTGCGGACAGAAAGTCTTCATTTCCTCAGTTTTCTGAGAAATGGCGACGGGCGCTCCGCGCTGGCAGCCACACCAAAAAACACGGTAGCGAGATTTAAATTGTCGATAAGGCAACAACACTTGGGGAGGGGATGCTTGAAAAAGTTTCATAGCCCTTATAGCCCTTTAAAAACAGCTAAGGCTTTTAACAGTACTGAAATTCTAGAATTCACGTCCCAGATCTTGTCCAGTCAAGGCAAGGAAAGGGCTAGGCCGGTGAAGCAGAGCTTGGGTGTCGCAGAGGGCAGAACAAGCGTTCTAGACCAGCTCTTAGGGCTCCCAGGCCGGCCTGGGCAACAGGAGCCCGCACGGAAAAGCAAACCCCAACAACTGTCCCAAACCCCAAATCAACAAACCAGTAAACAAGCAAGAAGGGCGACGCTGGTGGCAACATTTTAAATAGTAAGAAAAAGTGCAGATAATAAGATGGCCAAATGTCCAACTTCAGAAAAATTGCTTAATACTTTACATAATTGTCATAAAACTTTAGGTTGCCGCTCTAACTATAAAGAATATAAAATTATATTTTTCATACAGATGTTGAGCAAAAATAACGGGGCAAAATTGTGTGGACCCCAGCAGTAGACATAAATTAAGCAGTTCAAAGCGAAAAAAAAAGTGCTTTGGGATAATTACAGTCTGGAACTAGCTCTTGTAGATCAGACAGCATCGAATTCACGGAGATTCGCCTGGCTCTGCCTCCCGAGTGCTGGATTAAGGGCGGACGCCCCCCCCCCCCCGCTATTATAGTTTTTAAAGTGATTATTCCTACAGTTTATCCGAAAAAAGAATATTTATTACCGTAAATAAATTTCCTGAGCAAGAGTTGAAGGGGGACTGCTAATTAACAATTACTGTTAGGATATCTAAATGTTTAAAACATGAATATTTCAACGGAAACCTGAAAAGAGTGTAACGATTAGATCCGACTACTAGTGACAGACATAACTAGAAAATTAGGACAGATAATGACCCCGACGTGATTTGAACACGCAACCTTCTGATCTGGAGTCAGACGCGCTACCGTTGCGCCACGAGGCCTCCGTGAAGGCCTGGTTTGACGGGTGTGGTGAACTGATTCCTCCCCGCAGTGAGCACGGAGCGTGAGCACGGAGTGTGTCTATTTCTTCAGGCTCGGTCTCGGGCTTTGCTCGCACGGTCCTCTGACAGAGGGAGGCTCGTGCTCACGTGGAAGTGACTGCGGTTGAACGATGAGATGTGCTTACGTACGTTTGGCAGAAAGGCAGATTCTTTAGTCTTGGGCTACACTAAATTCACTCAGAGAAGCGACTTAAACTTTTGGAACGATTTTTTCCCCTAGGGATGATGTCATTATGGTGTCACTGATTCCCCAACAGAGTTTTAGATTTAATCCCAGAGGTGCTCATGACAAAAACCAAAACAAAACAAAGTCCATCTCATTTAGTTTTTTTAAATCTTGTTTTTCTTACCCATACTTTTGATGTAATCACACAGTTTAACACAGCAACAAAGAGTAGGCGAGAAAATAAATATAACTAGACTTGTAGCCACTCTGGTTTTCATCTGCGTTGGTGGTATAGTGGTGAGCATAGCTGCCTTCCAAGCAGTTGACCCGGGTTCGATTCCCGGCCAACGCAGTTGCTTCTTTTTCTTTTTCCTCCCTCCATTTTCCCTTTGGCCAAATTGATAGGGCGTACAGCTAGGAACCTTTATCTCCAAGGTCTTGGTGTCCACGCTCGTCACTCGGCACAACCCTGGTCGTTCTCCGGGTTCGTGCAATATGAGTCCTGTACTTTCTCCCTGTGTGCACCCGGTGTATGTGGAAACACTGACACTGCTCGGGTTGCGGGGCAAATCCAGATACAGATGCCTGCGGAGGGCCAAAGCAAAGGTTGAATCAATCAGCCTGTACATTCTTTGAGACTTTAACCAGTAAAGCTCAGGCTGCGAATATTAGAATTACAATGGAGATTGAAAATATAACTATTGAGTGAGCATTACGAGAAGTAATTGTAGTTTGGATAAAAAGTGAAAGTATCATCCCTTCTAGGCATAGAAAGGTTGATATAAGGTGGGATCGAAATATTAGTGTTCTAAGAATGAGAAGATAAAGGCTAGGCTAATATTAAAGACTGCAGATGTCATTTTGGTAATTATGATGAAGATCATAATCTAATGAGTGGAAATCATTAATTTTAATTAAACTACCAATTATTCTGCTCATTCTAGACCTTTTTGAGATCATACATAGGCGAGGCCTAGGGCTAAAATAGTGATTAGAATAAATGCAATTAGGGTTGTGGAATTTAGGTTGGAAATTTGTAAGGCTCGTGGTAGGGGTAGCAGTAGGGTAATCTCTAAGTCAAATAAAAGAAATGTAATTGCTACGAGGAAAAATTTTATAGAGAATGGAAGTGGGGCCGAGTTTATCGGGTCAAATCTGTTTCATAAGGGTTTGCTTTTTCTGTATATAAATTTAGATGAGGTAGTCAGAAGACTGCTGAAATTAGAATTATGGATAAGGTTAATAGAACTAATGGTATGTTAATTACTTTCTTCTAAGTTAATTCTAGAGCTAACTGATTGGAAGTCAGATTATACTAAGAAAGTAAGAGCCTCTTCAATAGATAGAGACGTATAGGAAAAGTCAGACTACATCTATGAAGTGTCAGTATCAGGTTGTGTAGAAGGAGGTAGATAGTAAGAAAAATAGATCCAATAATTAATTACGTGTAGGCCGTGGAAACTTGTTGCTGTAAAATAAGTTGATCCATAGATTCCGTCTGCGATGGAGAATGGGGTTTTAAAAAATATTCTGAGGCTTGTAGGATAGTAAACTCCAAGTAGGATTGTAATTAGCAGGGCTTGATTTATATTATTACGTTTGTCCTCTATCAGGCCGTGGTTAGCTCACGTAACTGAGACTCCTGATGCCAGAGGGCTAATGTGTTGTTGAGCAGAGGAACTTCTAGAGGACATAGTGGAACAAAACCTGTTGGCGGTCAACAACCTCCTAGGTCGTGTGTAGGTACTAGGTTTGAGTGGTAAAAGGCTCAGAAAAAGCCTGCGAAAAAGAATACTTCGGATACTATAAGTAGGATTATTCTGTAGTGTAATCCCTTTTCGACAATAGGTGTACGGAGACTTTGATATGTCATCTTTGGTATACTGTAAGCATATTTGCTATTAATCCTAGAGATAGCAGGGTAAATGAGTTGCAGTGAAATCATATTACAAAGCCACAAGTCAAATAAGCAAATCCCTCAATTTAAGAAACGTATGGCAGTGCGCAGTGTTTACTGAGATTGTGTAACAAAAAGTTATCCAGCTTCTCCCCGTCGGGGAATCGAACCCCGGTCTCCCGCGTGACAGGCGGGGATACTCACCACTATACTAACGAGGAGTGAGCTGAATTACCTTTACTCCTGATCGCTGATCAGGGTTCTAGGCCGAGGCTGCTCTGCAGTCTATTTCCCAGCCACCCAGAGAACTAATCAGAAATCCACGGCCGTAATCGATAGCATCGGAATTGAGTCTGCAGAACGGCCAAAGAAAGTAGGAGTGATCGAGAGGCACGGATGATCTCCAAGGCTGGCGAAACCCGAGCTCTGACAATCCGTGGCTCTCCAAGAAAACACAGAATATTTCCCTCCCCTCATCACCTGTCACCCACAATCCCAAAATGGATGTTGGTAAAACTGATACCAGCCTCCAGCGTCCCGGGAGAGGTCCCTAGCAGGAAGGAAAAGAGCAGAAGTCGAGCGACCTGCCTATAATCGGAGGGTGTTCCGAATGCTAGTTAGAATAAGAGAGCCCGAAAGATCCAGCAGGCTGCTCGGTGACACGAACAAAAAGAGCAAAGACGGGGCTCGTCCGGGATTTGAACCCGGGACCTCTCGCACCCGAAGCGAGAATCATACCCCTAGACCAACGAGCCGACGTGCGACGAGCACTGTGGACGCCCATAGATGTCGTGCGCCACGTTCTCCCGTCCGGACGATAGCGGACCTGGGAGGAGGGCGGCTCGGAGCCCGCCGGTGTTAAGCCCTCCGGAGCAGGGGCGGAGGATCTCCGCCGGCTCGCGAGCTCCTAGGAAGTGGCGTGGAGGAAATGGGAGGTGCAGGCTCGCTGTCCCCGCGCCTCCGTGCCGGGCGCTTTCCTTACTACTCACGCGGTTCCTAACCCTGAGGTCTCCGCATTCCTCACCCTGCCCGGAGTCCTCCGGACCAGACTTGAGCTTAGTACGTCAATCCGTGGACCGGCTTGGCTTGGAACCGTGCTGGGGACCGCGTCCTGGACGCCCTGGGCACGTTAGCCGCCCGGCAGTGACCTAGGACGGGGCTTCTGTAGTCCACCGTCTACGCTACCCGTCAACGCCCAGCCTTTAGTCCTCGAGAGACCGAAGACTTCCTCGGAGGCGCTGCCAGCCCCGGGCCCCGGGTTCCGGGT